GGAGGGGGGGAGGGAGGGAGGGAGGGAGAGGCGCGTGGAGGCGGAGGGAGACCTCTCGGACGTGGAATCACACGCCCTCCTCCGTTTGCTCTTATGCAGTCACGGAACCCTCCGCACGCGGATTCGCGCTTCTGAATGAGCGGCGTCGTGCATATGCGAAATGCCTGCGAAATTAACGACCGACTCTTTTACCTTCTTTACTTCCTACCGTTATGGCCAGCTACGGTGTTATTGTTTACGTGAATTATTCGCGCTTTGCTGTTCTTCGTCCTTTCTTTCCAATATTTTTGTTGAATTTTGCGATAACCTTGAAATTTTTGTTGATATAATCTCATGTTTACTGTTTTCAAATTGGTAGGAATCCTTCCATTTTTAACATAATTTTTCGTATATTTCTTATTCTTATTCCTCTCTTCTCTCGTCTTCTGTTTCTTTGCATGTAACTTATTTCTAATTTATTGTTAAGTGTTTTTTTCTATTTGTTATTTTCGTCATTTTATTTTCATTTGTTTGGCACTGAAACTAATCTTGATACTAGTCACTTCATTTTTAATCCGTATATGATGACTTACGATTCACGGAAAACATAATGAGGTTGATAAGTTTCGCCGCAGTGACCTGCGAGACGTGGCGGCGAGAGAGAAAGGCTAGTGCCCTGGCTCCTGACCTTAGAGGGTATCGACTCCTTGGGTGGGGTTGCGACCGCCCAGATTGGAAGCAACTGTCTCGCGGATTCTGTAAACTATATTTTTCTTATTGCCACTTACATCCTTTGACACTTATGAGTGATAATCTAATAAGTACATCATAATGATACCGTTCTGTGATGAATGTTGATGGCGATATGGTGGAATGAAAAGTAGAGAAACGGTACATGCCCCAAGATGAACTGATCGTTTCTCAATAAGTATTATTGTTTTCTTAATTCTAAGGAATGTTTAAATTGTCTCAAAGTGATTGGCTCGTGCTATAACGCAAGTATTTTGCGTTGAAGACGCGGGTTACTGTATACGAAGTCATTCTAAAGATTACGAATTTTCGTAGAGATAGATAATTTCTAAAATGTGTTAGTGAAGTTAAGGCGATCCACTAATGTTATGTTTGTGCGTATGTTTGCGGTTCAGAATTTGTTTGTCAGTGCAGTTATCAGCGGTGCTTTGGAATGTTGCTTGTCGCTGTATTAGTTAGTTTGCAAAACGTTGCCTAAAGGATTGGATTATCTCGCTTACTAGGGAATAATCCAGTCTTCTGGTCAGAACTGCGTACTAGATGTCGCAATTATCACAAACGGACGAGAAATATTTCCATAAAAAGCTACTGCACTTTTATTTATTAATCAAGAAATCACGAGCATATTTCTAATAAGCAAATTCTCTAATAAATGAAAAAGATCCATATTTCCTTATGTAACAAGAATGGATGACGTTACATTCCGAATCCAACATTCTTATTATACAGTAGTCCGTTATTGGTATTACATTTTTTTCTGTTTTGGGGGGAAAATAAGCAAGCAATCTTCCCCTTTGCATGAAAAATAAGGGGAGAGGCATGTTTGTTGATGATTATTGACCTCTCAATTTGTCTTCCTCTGATACAATTCATATCAGTAAAAACACTAAACTTGTTTTAGAGGTACATTGAACTATGACTGGGCACAATGTAAAATATCTTCATGGTCACTTCTCAGTAGAGATAACAGTGAAATTTGCGTCAGCCAATGTTTGAATTAACATCTAAAAATTATGCCATCTGTTTTTCTACAAATACAACATGAAGCCACTTCTCAGAACACTACAATGTGTTTTAATGAAGTGACCTCATTAAATATAACACAAAGCACTTCGCGGTGAAATTTCTGCTTGTGCAAAGATGAAGCACACGAAAGGGTTCATCTAGATTCTCCCAGGCTTCTTTTGATGCAGTCAACATGAACTCGGAAGGAGGGCGCGTCTGAAACCAGTAATTTGCAGTATGTCGTATGCACTGGGAAAGTTCTGTAGAAACACGTCACTGGTTTTGTAAGCATCGGCAATTTCTGTTGATTCCACTCGGGTATAGTTCGAGTACAGAATACTGAGCTTCAGAACGCTGCAGCGAGGTAAATTTGCTTATGCTTTTACCAGAAGGTTATACAGGAATGTCGCGAACTAATACATTCTAATAAACTGAGACAAATGGAACACGGAAAAACGTTACTTTTGAGTCCTTCCAAGTGAGATCGCCTAAAGAATGAAGTGTAAAAAAGTGCACCTGGTGAGAGAAAAAGGCAATTGCAAAATCTGCCGCTTGGGGCTGTTGAAAATCAGTGATGATTTCTACTAGTCGCAAATTAAAATTTTCCCAATATCTCTTTTTATAACATTTACTAGAGTTTTAATTAAAATGCGTTTTATGTCTTTTCCCGGCACAAAACTAAAAACCGCTCAAAAAGTTCCAACATGAAATTTTGAATTAGATCGCTGGGCTGGGTGTGGCAACACTGACGCACCGTTCTCGGAAACGGTCATGTCGACCGTGGCGGCTTGTCTGTTCCTGTCTACTCGCAGCTCCACGCGTTTCTTCTGGAAGCGCGAGGAAACCCGTCTGGACTCGTGCGCAGCGCCGCGCTCCACAAGATGGAGCAACGGGACAGCGGACGCGCGGCGCGAAGATCGCTTCCGCAAGCGGGCGCCACGAGGGGTTTTCCTGTTGCACGCACAAATTGCGGGAAATAACGGCACTCGCTTGTCTTGATACCATACGCGACGGGGCAGACCACAACAGAACGGCACTAGGCGAGAGAATTTTAACCGCAGGCTCCACCAAAATGTATAAAGAGGCGACAACTTTCTTTGACTGGGTGGAGGGCAATAAAGTTTCGTATGCTTAACTTTTTTTTAAAATATGCCTCCATCATGAAACAAATATCATACCGGAAATAATTTAAGCATTGTTTTGAACTGAGCGGTCTACATAGCGGTCCATAAGCAAAATACTCGACATCTATGTGTAGTGAGAAAAAGTCTAAGGACTTCACAGTGTAATACACTTATACACTATAGCAGTACAACTCGAATATATTACAATGTTTATTATTTTAAAAAATAATCTCTCTAACCAAATTCTCTCTGGTATGCTAGTTACCGACGAGTTTCTGATATATCTAACCTCTTATCATTATCAGTAAATCGAATTAAACCATAAATCTGCATAGACAAATCAATTCCTTTCCATACGCAAAGACTCAATGCTTCTTCTATAATAGAGGCCAAGGCCGTCATCGATAACTGTATTTAAATAAGCGAACAGTTTCTTATAATGCGGCCTTGATTGCATTAAAGTGATCGTAATCATATAGCGATCAATCAGCCCGCAGCGTGTCTTTCACCACGTCCTGATGAAGTCAATTCGATAAGTTTTTGTGTGAAGCTTGGGCAGACTTGCATTATCGTACGTCGTTCTTCTCTCTCTCCGCGAGAAATTGCCGTGGCCCCGATGCCAAAATTTCGTGCCGCTCTCTTTTTCACTGTGAGGAGAGTTTTAAGACGATGTCACGTAAGAAACATGACGTGCCGATTTTCATTCACAAATTCAATTGCATATAAATACACAATGATAAAATCTGAAGTCCTCCAAATTATTTTTTTTCAAGTATAATCAATCATTCAGAGACACAGTAGACTCAATTTTCGGAAAACAATGGGGCACATTCCCGGCTTAAAACGAGAGACGAGTCTCTTCACTAGATGGCATCACTGGAACCATCACTAAATACAAAGAGTCACCAATTTTTGAAAGAAAAAAAACTACCTAAAATTTGGAACGCAATGATAAAGATGCTCTTATTCGGAAATAAAACATTTGAGAAATATTTTGTAGCAGACACTAAAAAGCACAGAAAATTCCAGCTCACACTCGATAAAATCATGGCGTATTCACTGTGATGAAGTTTAGAATCCCCAATTAATTTCACACAGAAGCTGTATATACATTTATTTTCGCTTTTCATCTTGGTTATTTAGCGACCACTGTGATTCTTTTCTAGTAGGGAGAACACGTAGGGACGACACAAACACACACCAACATCCATGCCCGAGGTGGGATTCAAACCTGCGACCCTTCGAATGGAGACATTTATGGCCATCCGTAGCCTTAGCGACCTCGGGCATCCTGTATAAACATTGTTTGAGACAACGTGTGGACGCATCGCAGTTGGGGCAGGCCATGCCCGAGTCGAGGCGCTGTCACAGCCGGGGCGACAGGGCGTGGGCGTCGCAGAACTGTGCCAAGCGTCCGGGCGCCGGTACTCACCGTAAGGCAGCGTGAGTGTGAGCACCGCCAGCAGCGCCAGCGTGAAGTGCGTGGCTGTGGTATCCATGGTGATCCGGCGATTCAGTCGTCGCGGCTGCCTTCAAGATGACGACCCTCCCCCGATCCTCTCGATGGAAAAAAAAAAGTCAACTCAAAAATTCACTGATAGGCGGAACTTGTCGATCTTGTCATTCCCCCTGGGACTTCACCGGGCAAGAGAAGAAGAAGAAAAAAAAGACGCGGGCTGGCAAAAAGATTGTGTGTAGCGACTCGGTGGGCCAAACCACCCCGCACGTGTTTAGTGTTTGGGCACTGTTTGAGGACTAAAAGGTTGCCCGGATTTCACCGGAGCCTCCCAGGA